AGCCGCAGCAAAAAGGATCATCTTTTCAGTAAAAAGGAAATATTAATATAAATATTTTCAAATACAAACGAAAAACTGAGAAATCTAGAGAAGTTTTTAACTAAACAGATGCCACCAACGCCTCGGCAACCACGTATTGAGAGAGTCCATCATACACCGCGAGACCAGGCAGCAAGCACGATCAAGCGCCCCATGAACGAACACCTTTTCGTAGATTTTTCTGAATAAATTAGTTATTTTATGTAACAAGTATCCATTTCTAGTGATTATATTTATTTAGTAAACAATGTACTTCTGTCGTATAGTGTGGACTGCTGCATATACACAACATCCCACCACCCCTGCCAGGGCAGAATGCAAGTTGGTAAGCCGCTTGAAAAAGGGAATAAACTATTAAAACTGTTTACTAGAGTTCTTCTCACATAAATTAAGATACTTCGGGGACCTATTGCTAAAGTTTCCTATAACTCAAACGTAAAGAACTCTGAACGCGCGGCTCCTGTAGGCCAGTTTACTCGTTGCATTGGCCCCGTTGATACTGCTGTAGGAGAATAACTACTGTTTCTAAATAAAAGTATAAATATAGGGCTTGCAAAGAGCTGAATATGTAAGACTGATAATGGTCTGAACGTGGCGCCTGCATGCATGGATCTACCCATACAGAATGTAGATTATATACATTATAAATGAATAGAGTCTTATGCGTATATACGTTGTGCGTACACCAGAAAAGCAGACTTGAAAATTGAGAAGCAACGGCAGTTGAATGGAATATCTGTGCCGGGTAGAGTAGCGCAGTGTACGTACACTCTATACGCCCGCCAACAAAACAAAAGTTAAACTAAACCATGCAGGCGACTCCCGCAGGCACATATATGTTGCTTCTGCCCTTCCCGATGAGAGTAATGATGCAAGTATAGTATATTATAGTATTGGTGATGTTAGATCTACTATGACAAAGGCGCATGCATCCAGTGCATGCATGCAGCACGCATGCAATCCATGTATGCATGCATGCATACATGCACGCATGCAGTGCCTCTGCTCCTTGAACAGCAGGAAGACTCGCAGGACCCTGACAGCTCCCCTGTTGTGTCTGTCGTGGCCTGTGCCCCTGCATCCCGCATACAATACCAATCCCCCCACCCAGCCCCTCGTATACACCTCGTGATAGAGTTCAGAACGCCTCATTCATCAGCCCCTCGAGCAGCGGATCGCCGTCGTCTGCATCCATTCCATCATTCGGTGGAGGCGGGGGACGAATGCCAACAGCAGCAGCAGCAGCAGCAGGGTCTGTTTGTCCTGGGGGTCTAGAGGCTGGTGGTGGTGGTGCAGATCCGCTGCTGCTGTATATTTCAACATGGCCTGCGAGCCTTTGCTGCTCATACTGTTGAATCTCGCGCTGCTGCTGCTCCCACTCATCAGCAGCACGCGGTGGTGATGGCATCCGTACACGCGGATCGTTGCCTAGGGCTTGTGCTGCTCTCTGTGCTAAAGCAAAACTCTTTGATGCTTCGGGTGTAAGTACAGGGTTCGATGCCGTCACAAAAGATACAGGAGCATCGTAGTTCGGAATGTTCCCGCTCTGGTGCTGCCCCATGGGGCCCAGCGGCCCCTGCGCTGCCGCCTGCACAGCAACACCCACCCCAGCACCACCAAACCCTAAACCCTAAACCCTAAACCCTAAACCCTAAAAACCCTGACAGCGGAAACATAGAGAGAAGTATAGAAAAGAGAGGAAATACAGCAGCAAAAGGAAACAGACAGAACCATAGAGAAAGCAGAAGAAGAAGAAAAGAACAAACAGCAGTACGAGAAAGGCAGAGCCACATAAACAGAAGAAGGAGATTGTAGCAGCATAGAAAGAAAAAAGGAAATACCATATATATATATATATATATATATATATATATATATATATATATATATATATATATATATATATATTTACCTGTTTCATTCCTTCTAGGCGTTTGACGGCAACATCTGTGGCGCCTCCTCCTACTTTATTAGATACAGAAAGCACACCTTCAAGGACAGCTCCGACGATATTTGAGTCGAGTTGTGCGTTTTGTTGTTGTGTTTCTTGTTGCTGCTCAAGGTAATCATACTGAAGTTCAAGCATAAGAACGAGGCTGGGGTCTGTCTGTGCTATTGTACTGATAGCAACAACAGCCTGGTGAACCCCCTGAGCCATTCCATGTATAGCAATAACTCTTTCTGGGCATGGACTTGAATTTCTATCAACTGTTATTCGTGTTAGTGTTGCTTCTCTTATCTCACGAACACGAACACCACCAGGGCCAATGACTGTTGGGCATACACTTGTAGGTACTACTAGTTTTGCATACATCTGATCATAAGGTAGATTTGGGTGTACTTCTTTACATCTTTCTAGTAATGATATAACACCAGTACTTATTGCTTCAGTTGATCCTGACATAAGTAGAAGACGATCAATAGAATCAGGGAATTTATTTTTTGATGATAATACATGCATACTGCATCCACATTCTTCTGAAACTTTTGTTATTGTTTCACTATCTTTACCAATCAATGAATTTGCTAATGCAGGATCTATTAATAATTTCATATGGAATGGACCCGGTAAAGATACAGGTCGATCGTCTTCAAGTGGTTCTTCTTTCAGTGCCTCCATATTCATTCCTTCTTGCAATACACCTGTTTCAGCCCATGACGGCATCTTTAGTTTGTATCCATGGCCATANTATTCATTCCTTCTTGCAATACACCTGTTTCAGCCCATGACGGCATCTTTAGTTTGTATCCATGGCCATATGTCTGGTGTACAGACAGAGATTGATTCGGATCTGCATGAATATAAGGTAACATAGCTTTTATAGCAATGGTTACTTGCTCCAGTGGCCCCAGCACAGAGATGATACGTTCATGAGGGTTCGATGGAACCAGCTGACCGGGGTGATGAGAAGGAGTTTGTTGGTCTCTGTTACTTATTTGAATTCGTGTACCCGTAAAGCTTGCAAGCTGACGGATCCTTTGCCCCCCCGGGCCGCATATAAGAGCACAGCAGGTACTCATTGCACTCATCCTCCACACCATGAAGTTCGCATGGCCCACCATAAGACAAGCTGCATACACCTTTTCTAGCACTGCTAATAAAGCTCTGTCTGTATCTTGTGGCTGCCCGCTGATGACAACAATTCTTTCTGTACAAGGAGGAGGTTCAGGCGGAGCTACCTTTGCCTGCACTGCATATTCTGCTTCAAATTGTGTTATAATACTGCCATTCGACCCCAGAAGTTGAGCTGCAACCAAATCACTAACAAGAATCTTATGATATGCAGGTCCCTGCATCATCANGACCCCAGAAGTTGAGCTGCAACCAAATCACTAACAAGAATCTTATGATATGCAGGTCCCTGCATCATCACAGGCCTGCTATCTCTCATATATTGCAAGTTACTAATCCGAGCCAGTTCATCTTGGGCTTGGCTGATGAGTGCAGCTTTAGCTGAATCTGATAGATTCGGTACATTGGGGGCTACACTAGCAATACCAGCTTTCACAGGTTCTTCTTTCGGGGGAATCAGAATACTAGCGAGAGCCTGCATCGTTGATTCATCAACATCTTGCCCCAATAGATCTTCAAGCCTCTCCTCCTTTTCCTCTGGCTCAGCCTTCGGCATACAACTATCATATTTCAGGTTTGTATGGTCTCGTAGGTCTTCTATCTGCTGCAGCAGACGCGCCAAGTCACTCGCAGCAGCCTGAACATCCGCTAGACTCCCCTGCAGCGTCAGCAGCCTCTCGCGTCCTCCCTGTTTTTTCATATCTTTTCTATCGCTAATAACAAGACGAGCAGCCCCTATCTTTCTTAGTTTCCGAATTGGTTGATCTGAATTCGGGGGTGTAAGCTGACACACAGAGTGAGGAGCAATGAATGTTATACTGCAGCTCCTGCCGCTATCACGATGCTTTCCTGGTTCTGAAATTTGTTGCAATGCCTTTTGCAGCATCTGCAGCAACGGGTCTAGCTGACCCTGAAACAGCAGCATTCGGCGATTTGTTTCAGGAAAAAATACATCTTTTGCCGAGAGACGGCTCTTACAACCATGGGACTTCGCCAAATTCAATAAACCTCGATTGTCTACACCCAATAGAATCGATACGTCACGAGGCTGAGGCAACAGCTTCAAGTAACAAGGCCCCTCTAGGTCAGGGGGCAGAGGGTCACCCAGGGTATTCTTGGTGGGGTCGGTGGTGTTCACAACAGGAGGAGGCTGGTAAGAAGGACTCCTCTCCCTCTTCCTCTTCTTCTCGTTGCTGCCGCTCCCGCTGGCGTTGCGACTGCCGCTACGGCTGCGGCTGCTGCGCCCTCGCTTCCCTTCCTTTGAGTGTTTGCTGCTGCTGCTGCTACTGCTGCTGCTGCTGCTGCTGCTCTTGCTGTCCTTTGATGCACTCTGACTCTTGGTTTCTGCACGC